TTCTTGGAGTGTTGGATTTGATGGACAATTAACATTCGCTAACTATAATCTGTTAGAACCCCCTCTCCCCATACATGCTCCCCATAGAGGGGGCGGCTCGGTGGCACAGTGGATAGAGCACCAGCCCTGGAGTCAGGAGGACCTGAGTTCAAATTCACCCTCAGACACAACCCTTACTATCTGTGTGATCCTGGGCAAGTCACTTAACCCCAATTGCCTCGCCCCCTCCCCCAAAACATGTGCACAGGCTTGTGGAGGATTGATCTAATGGAAATGGAGAACTAACTCTAAGGTAAACTGAACCATACTTTGAACAGATATTAGAAAGACAACAGCATTACTCCTACAGGCTATGTGTGTACTTGCCTCTATGTTGGCATCTATAGAGAAAATAAAACGAAATTCAGCTCAGCCCTTTTGGGCTTTTTGGTTATAATAATAATGGCTTGCTCTCTCTCTCTTTTTTTAAACCAATTTCACTTTTAGAATTTTATTTGATTAATTTATATAGGTAAATGGGTATTAGATTCAAAACTGGAAGAGACCTTAGTTGGAGGTAATTTTTATTTCGATTTCCTCGTTTTAAAGATGAGGAAACCGAGGTGCACAGAGGCTAAAGGGATTTATCCACAGTTATTAGTAGAGCTCAGATTTGAGCCTGAATTCTTTTAGTCTAAATTCAGTGCTCTTCTGCCATATCATTCCTTAGAAATTAAAATTAAATAATAACCTAATAAGCATGATGAAAACCAAATTTTATTTACAAAGGCCTTTTGGCCTCAGTGTATTTTCTGTTAATTTCTTATGATTTCCTTAACCACAATTGCCTAAAAACTAAAAAAAAAAGCAAAAAATTTCTTATGATTTCATTGGCTTTATTATTTAAAACAGAAAATTTGTTCTATCTACAGAATGCAATTAGTACATTCTATGTATTTTTAAATTGATATGTATATATACTCAGAAATCTTATCGATGAATTCCCTAAACCAGAAATTCTTTTTTTTTCCTCTGAAAATTTTTTCTCACCTTCTTGTATGTTTCATATGTACCTGAATGTATTTGTTCTTCATAGGTACCAGAAAACTGGAGGAAAAACATGCAGGGAAACAAACAAAACTTTGTTTATGTTTCACTTTTTGTTTGACAGCCTATTTTTTTTTTTTTTTTAGAATTCTGACACTAAACTAGTCAGACATTTGTACTGTTGGTATGTAATACCTATAATTTCCTTATATATTATCTACTACACTAGACCTTTTATATGTATGAATTACTCAGCAATATGTTTTCTTGGTCTTCCTGAGTACTTCCAATGGGCAGTATACCTGAATGTCAACCTTAGGTCAGCTGGAGCTTTTGGTGCTGATGTTCTCATTTGCATTGTTTTCAGATGTCTCATTCCTTTGTAAAGTAGAAAGTCATATCCTCTTTTCTACATCTAGGGAGCTCATTTGTTTATATTGCGATCTTGATTTTGGGGTTGTTACTAGTCCCCTTAGATTTTATTTTTAAATAGAGTCTCTTTATCTTTCCTCTCCTCTCTCCCCAGGAAAATTTTCTTCTCTGAAATGACAAGAGTTTAGAAAATGTTCATTAAGAGGCCAGAATGGTATTTTTTGGTCTTAAAAACGAACAAACATGTGCTTTGTGCTCAGTTGCCTTTAACCCAAATACCCTTTTCTCTTTTTTAAACAAAAGGACCTGCAGAACTTTTAAGTGAGTTTGAGCATTTATGTTAATTTACCTTTGGAAGAATTCATGGTATACTTTGGCTACCCAGGCTGCTGTTAATTCGGCTCCAAGCTTAAAAAGTTTCTAAGAAACAATTAATTGGAATAAAAAGCAGAAGTGCAGGTTCTTGCACCAATTAAATTATAAGCATTTGTTTGTGGGTCTTTCTTAGTTGCATAAAAGTCTTTAAGGCAGGAGAGAATTTTCTAACCCAGAGCAACTTGTTCTGAAAATGATTCCTGGTTACAATAGATAAGCACAGAAAAAGTGTTTAAATATTAAACCTGATTGATTTAGAATATTAATGTAGTCAACTCTGAATTGATATTCACTACTTTTTAATTTACTGGGTTTTTTAAAACACAAAATGAATGGACAAGGATTTGAAAATCACACACAAAAAAAAGGTTAAAAAACCCCCTGTAATTAGGGTTATTCAATTTAGAATCCACAGGATTCATCCAAAGGGGAAAATAAGCCTTAGATGAATTAAAGAAGAATGATTGAGCCAGTTTCTTGACATGATCTTATTTAATTCATTTTGACATGTCAGTCTGCCATCCAAGTATGTTAGTTTCATGGGGGTAACATAAGGATATTTATAAACAGAATTCCCGTATAATGACCATTATAATCCATTAGTTTAAAAGCAAATAGATTATTATATTTTATATTTCAGAAAGCTAACTTTTAAGTCATTTAAAAACTACATTGAATTTTATGAAAGAATTGTATTTTGGTTTTGTTTTTAGTTTGAAGAATAGCTGATGCTTAAATATAGGCTTATTGTCTCCTTTATAGGCCAATCCTATTATAACAGTTTTTTTGTTTGTAGTTCTTTTGTTTGGAGAGATACTATTTGAACAGAATATATCAAAATCCATGTTTATAGAGAGCCATGTTAAACCCAACTGTGTCAGGATACTTTTTTTTCCTCAATGGACAAAAGGGCTGGGATTGTCAGAATTGGTGATTTCATTCTTATAGGATTTTACCATCGTAAAAACTTCCTCTACTTCACAATGACAATTTTCCCATTTAGAGAGTGGCTTGGGGGGCACTAAGAAGGTCTATCATTCTAGATCATGCATCTAGTAGGAGATCAGGGGATCTATGGCATCTTTGACATTATGGATATGGTGCTGTATAGTAGTAAGGTGCTTAACATTATGGGGGTTTCTAACAGATTTCTTAAGGAGATCAGACTTGAGCCCAGGACTGGCTGACTCCTACGCTAGGATGGAGTTCAACTCTTCCTTCAGTCAACTAACATTTATTAAGTACCTACTACAGCCTGATGGGTGCTAATTCCTGGGGATACAAAGAAAAGCAAAAGACCCTTCAAACTTTGTCATCTAATAATAATGATAATTTACCTAATAATATATAATTGACAGCTAACTGATAGTTGCTCCCAGAACAATGAGGCATTGAATAAATTTTGACATGGGAGAGAATGAAGAAAGAGGATGATGTGAGATGTGAACTTAGGTCTTCCTCCTAAGTTGAGGACCAGAAAGAGAGCCCTGAGAACCTTGAGGCCTAGATGTTAGGAGGAAGAGGGTTGGCAGAGAAGGCTTGGCTAGGAGAGGTGGGAGGGCTTAGGGGACAAAATTATATCTACTTAACCATTTAGCTTTGGGCTGGCCCTGTTTTGATATATACTCAGAGACTCCATTCAGTTCCTTAAAATCCCTATGCATGCTCCTTCCCTCTGGTCAGAGAAAAGACTTCTCTATTTCTCCCTTAGGCCAATCCCTCCCTACCAGTCCTCCAGATCAAATTTCCTTACTCTTTCTCAAGGACCTTCTTCCTCCAAGAGGAGATTCCTCTTTTGTATTTCCAATCTTATTACACTGGCTCTTTCAATACCAAACATGTGTAGGTTTCCCTAATCCAAATTAGTTTCCTTTTAATCTTCCTTTTAATCTGGAAAAAAACATCTATCCTGTGTTTCCACCTCTGTGCCATCTTTTCAACCCCTTGCAGTGAGGCTTCTTTTCTAATTATTTGATGGAAACTCCTTTTTGAAGTGTCTCTGATGAGACATTTTTGATCATGAGAAATGACATAATATTTGTAAAGCACTTAGCACAGTGCTGGGCCCACAGTAGGTGCTTAATAAATGTGTATTCCCTTCCCTCCCTCCCAGTGACCTTCCTAACTGCCAAATTCAGTGGCATTTTTTCAGTCCTTATCTTCCCCTACCTCTCTGCAGCTGGACATTGGATTTTCCCTTAGTTTCAGATGCATACTTTCCTGGTTTTCCTTCTTCCTCTAACTGCTTTCTCTGTCTCCTTTGCTGACTTTGTCCTCTTCTGGACCCTTTAAAAAAAGATCCTCTTCTCTTACCTCTCTACCAGATCTCCTTTGGCAATCTTATTTACCCTGGAGGCTTCAACTCCTTATTAGCTCTATTCTGTGGATTACAAATCTTTATCTCAAGAAATTACCTCTCTTCAGTTCTCCAGACCCACTTTTCAATTGCCTCTAGGATATTTTTCAAAGAATCTCTTTACCTGGGCCTTACTTTCTTTTTTTCCTCTGGGAAATTATGTAAACTAAAACATGCTATCTTTTGTTTTGAAATACTTCACTTTGTGAGCCTTATTCTTAACAAGTATAACTGAAGTAAAGAGATGAGCTGTGCACCTGTCTAAACTGACCAAAATAGGCAAAGATAAATAAAAAACAAAAGAAAACAAAAATCAGAATGGGTGAATGCAAAATTAGTGTAACTGACTTGGCTTATATAGGTGTGTGTATACATATTATATATGTATATATATATATATATGTTTATATTAGTTATAACAATAAAGTGGGGGAAAACTTGGTCAACTAGCTCCATTTTTATTTTGTGGCTGTTTTTAGGCAATTGGGGTTAAGTGACTTGCCCAGGGTCACACAGCTAGTAAGTGTCAAGTGTTTGGTCTGAGGCTGGCTTTGCACTCAGGTCCTCCTGACTTCAGGGCTGGTGCTCTATCCACTGTGCCACCTAGCTGCCCCTAGCTCCATTTTTAGTACAGGCTAAATTAAATATTATTGTATGAGTTGTGCCTTTAAGTATCCTATATAAAAGCATTTTGAATGATTTCTTTTTTTTTTTAAACCAAGCATTAATTCAGCATAGCAGAACAAATCTGAGTGAATTTCTTGTTCACTGAGTAGAAGCATTACTAACAAAGTAAGCCTTGCACTCTAACTCCGGTCTGGACATGGGAAATTTTTATTATGGACAGTAACATGATTTCTTTGAATTTCAGTGCTAAATGGAGGACCCCTGATGGGGAACTACCGGTTGGTCCAATTTCATTTTCACTGGGGCTCCAGCGAGAGCCAGGGCTCCGAGCATGTTTTGGATGGGAAGAAATATGCAGCTGAGGTAGGAAAGTCTTTTTTTTCTTTTAATCAATGCATATTCTCAGGAAATGACTCTAAACATTTTTATTAAAAAAATTTAAACTTCCATACTTGAGTGCATCCATGATTTCCTTGCTATATGTACTGGGTCCAGTGGGTCATGCTGAAAGCCATTTGTGCTTTCTCCACCCGTATTGCTCTTGTTGGTGTTCTCTTGTGAATTATCTGTCCAAATCTACCAAATGTTATGGGGAATTGGAGGATGGAAGGGGATGGAAAATTCCTCTAAATCTTTTGACACTATGGAGGAAGCGGTGCAACACCCACTGTCCATCTGTGTTTATTATCCTTCATTCTCACTACATGACTAGTTCACTTAATTTCATAAATTATTCCAACCACCCTTTCCAAATCTTCTCTTACAAAAGACGTTCACATTAGAAGAGTGAGACTTCTTTTTTATTATCAAATAAACAAACAAAGTTTGTGACGTCTCAATGAGAAACTATAGTATTTTTAATTACATCACAAAGGTTGGGTTAGCTGGATTGAAGCAGCCAGACGCACAGCGCAGAAGGGCTACACTTAGAGTGCGGATGACCTGAGTCCGAATCTTGCCTCAGATGTGACGATTAAAAAATTCTGAGAAATTCACCCAAATTTCTGGGTGAATTAAAATCAGTTTTGACCACATCTAGAAAATAGTCAACTAAAACAGGATCGTTGTCCCCTCAGTAGCCAAAGTGACCCAACCTCTTGAACCTTTGATATTTATAAAGTCTTTTGAAAAAGGGGTGCACCTGAGGGTGAAAACAACTCTGATTGGTCAACGAGACAATGAATATTATAATGGGAAGTGGGCTATATTAAAATGAGGGTCTTTGGGCTTTGTGACTTGGGTCATCCAAATCTTGACTGAAGGAGACATCAATTTCCATATCACCTGCCTGACAAAAGGGAGAATCAACACTTCCCAGACCTGTCTGGGCAAACACAATGAGCAGGAACGCACCTATTAGCCTAAAATTAAGAGTTTCTTTTATTGTCTGATTAGATCTTGGCTTGGGTAAATCCTACACTGGATCCCATTTCTGGCTGAGGAAGTAGAAAAGGGGAAAAACCTTGGTTCTAATTCAATAATTAGTTATTAAATATAAAAGAGAAATACTAATTTCTCACACATTCACTATCTGTGATTCTGAGAGGTCACAATTCCTCTTAACCTAAAATTCCTGATCTATAAAATAGGGGTAAAATGCCACCCATTCCACAGGTAAAGCACCATATAAACTCTGACTATTATTGGCAACTAGATGACTTGGGTTTGAATTGTTGCTTTGGTATTTACTATCTCTGTGACCATGGGCAAGTATGCTGATCCCTCTGGGTCTTCATTTCCTCATCTATAAAAGGAAGGGGGTTTGTCTTTCAGATATCTTGAACTGGATGTCTAAGAGTCATCTTAAATTCGACATGTCCAAGACTGAATGCATTATCTTTCCTTCTAAACCAGACCTGCACAACATATGGCCCTCGGATTGCTTGGCTAGCCAAAGCAGCCTGTGAAAAATATAGGGTAGCCACTGAGTACTGAATCCTGTTTGTCACCTGACCTGTGGCAACCAACCATCGTCAATCTGTCTCTGGTCTAACCTATCTGGGCCCTAAGAAGTTTAGCCTATTTTAATTTTGGCCCCTACTTACTGCCAAAGCTGTGCAGGTCTGTTCTAAACCCTCCTCACCTACCACTACCCTATTACTACAGAGGGCAGCACCATCCTCCCAGGCCCTCAGGATTACAACCTGGGAATTATCCTGTACTCTTCACTCTTTCTCACTCCCAAATCCACTCTGTTTCCAAGGCCTGTTGATTTTACTTTTGTAACATCTCTTAAATGCGTCCCTATGTCTCCTCTGATACTGCCACCACTTTTGTGCAGGTCTTCATCACCTCACTCCAGGACTACTTTATTGGCTGCTGCTGGGTCTCTGTGCCTCAAGTCTCTCCCAACTCTAATCCACCTTCCAGTCAGTCACTAAAGTGCTTTCCCCAAAGAACAGGTGTGACTATGTCACCTTCCTACACAATAAATCCAGTGGCTCCCTATTGCCTCCAGGATCAACTCTATGAAATTCTGTTTGGCATTCAGAGTCTTTCATAACCTGGCTAATTTTCATAGACTTTACTCATTGACAAATACTCTTCTCTCTAGTGACACTGGCCTTCTGGCTGTTTCATAAACAAGACACTCTATCTTTCAGCTCTGGGTTGTCCCCAGTGTCTAAAATACTCTTCTTCCTTTACTCCTCCCTACCTTCCTATAAGTCCTAACTAAAATCCCTTCTTTCACTGGAAGTTTTCTCTAACCCCTCTTAATTCTAGTGCCTTCCTTCTGTTAATTTTTTCCTATTTATACTAAATATTATATGCGTTATATAAATATTTGCATATTGTCTCCCTCATTAGATTGTAAGCTCCTTAAGGGCAGGGGCTTGTCTCTTACATCTCTAGCACTTAGCACATAGTAGGATTTAATAAATGTTTATTGATTGATTGATTAAATGTTCTTTCTAACTCTTACCTTCTATAACTCTATGATTTCCAAAGAGAAATAAATAATCTAATTTACATCCAAAGTGTTTTGATTTTCTCTTCATTATTACTGTTGATAAAATTTATTTTTGTAAAAGAGTGAAAAATTAGGTGTATATAAGTCCTTTTCTTGTTCTCTAAATTGTTTGTGTCCTCCTCCTTGGAATTACTTTGTATTTACTTAGCCTATATTTTAAATTAAATTATCTGTATAAATGTTAACTATTCTCCCCCCTCTCTCCTCTCCTATATTACCTGTGTTCTATGTGGGCAAGAACTGTTGAGTTTTTTTCTTTGAATTCCCAGTGCCTAATATAGGGCTTGGCACTTAATAGGTCCTGTTAAATCAGGTATTATTAAATGCTTATTGAGTAAATGAATGAATTGCCCAATGACAACAAAGAACATAGTTTAATAGGTATAAGTATCCATTATCTGCACCATTCCTTTCTTTAAATATTACTTTACATATAGCCTAAAAGTACTATCATAAAGAAAGATGCTATTGAATAGGATCACCTTGAGCATTAATTTTGCTAACTCTTATGCTTTTGTGTCCTTTGATGGTTCTAGCTTCATTTGGTTCATTGGAATACAAAGTATGAGAGTTTCAAGGTTGCTGTGACCAAGGATGATGGACTGGCTGTCGTTGGGATCTTTTTAGAGGTTAGTTTCTTTGTCTAATATTCTTGAAATATATTGAATCATACGTAGTGTAAGGGAGTCCTCCCCCAATCCACACTACCTCATGTAAGCAACATTTAATGAAATGTTAGAAAATGCCTTAAATGTTAAAAGCTATTGTGACTGATTATTTCCTTCAAATACTTCAAAAGATCTATGATTTCATTAATGTGAGTACTCCCTCTATTGAGATGGATTACAACCTGTCCCCCCTGCCTTAGTAGATGATCTTCACAAGTTGCTGTGGCTGGAGGCCAATACTGATGATAAACCATTCCTAGCAGTAGCATACAATAGTGGAAAGAACACTGAACTTGGAATATGAAGACCTGAGTGTGAATTAAGGCTCTGCCATGTACTAATTTTTTTTAAATCTGCAAGTCAGACCCTCAGTTTCATTATCAGTATGATGGGTGCTAGAATATATATTCTACAATGGATGCTATACAATATATTATCTATATTATCTACCTTACAAAACTGTCTTGAAGAAAGTGCTTTTTAAACATCAAAATTTTTTGTAAATGTGAATTATAATTATTAGCCAAGTTAGTCCTCAAATAACATATCTATTACTGGGCCTAACTGAAGCCTTTCTGAAATCTGTCACTATCCTTCCAGTTCCCCAGGCTTACAATTCAGATATCATCCTCAATCTCTCACTGTCTCTCACTCCTCATAACCAATTTGTTACCAAGGCCTGTTCAACTCTCAGATATGTCCTCTTCTCTCCTCTGATGTGGCTGCCATCCTGGTATAGGCTTTTATCACTTCACCCTTGGACTATTGCAATAGCCTGCTGGTCTATGTGCCAGATTTCTCTTCCCTGCTCCAATCCCTTCTCCATTCAGCTGCCAAAGAGATTTTCCAAAAGTATATGTCTGACTGTGGCCCCCTCCCCCCTTAATAAACTCCAGTGACTCCCTTATCACCTTCTCTATTGAATATAAAATCCTCTTTGGCATTTAAAGCCCTTCTCAATCTGCCCCCTTCTCCGGTCTCACCTCTTCACTCTTCTTATACCTTGATCTCCTCACCATGTATTCAATCAATGATACTGGCCTCCTTGCTATTCCATGAACAGGGCCTTCCATCTCTTCATTCTGGTTATTTTCTCTGGCTGTCTCCCATGCCTGGAATGATCTCCCTTCTCCTCCTTCCCTTTCTATTTTTTTTTAAAGAATGTTGTTTATTTACTTCTCAATTACGTGTAAAACAATTTCTAACATTCATTTTTTATCATTTTTCAGTTCCAAATTCCCCCCCTTCATCCTTCCCTTTCCTTCCCCCTCCTTAAGAAACCAAGCACTTTGATATAGATTATACTTATGCAGTCATGGAAAACATAGTTCCATATTACATCTTCTCTCTCTTCAACTATACCTTTTTTGGATTCCTTGACTTCCTTCAAGTTCCGACTAAAATTCCATCTTCTACTGGAAGCCTTTCCCAATCCTCCAATTCTAGTGCCTTCCCTCTGTTAATTAATTCCTGTTAATCTTGTTAATAGTTTGTACATATTTGTCTACCTGTTTTCTCCCCCATTGGATTGTGAGCTCCTTGAGGGCAGGGACTGTCATTTGCCTCTTTTTGTAACCTTGATGCTTAGCACAGAACTTAGCATATAGTAAGTGCTTAATAAGTGTTTACTGACTGATTTAGTCTCCATGTGCTTAGGGAAAACTTGTTCTACCTAGGCATAGCCTTCAAAAATTCAGTGTCACCTCCACAGCATGATGCATCAGAATAGGACTTTAATGGAAAGGAAATAAGTCCACAAGTGAGAAAACCTTTTGCCCTCTTCCCAGATCCTTTTTAATATCTGAATTTATGATCGGATCCAGGATTGCCCTTGGATTCAGCATTTTCTACATGAGAAGTTAGAGTTGAGAGGTTATCTACCACTCTTTCCAGAGGTCACACCCATGGAGTAAGTTGTAGATCTTCTCATTCAAATACAGTTCTTCCACTGTCATTTCCTGCTTGTATTCTATCAGGACTTTAAGTGTAAATTCTCTTGATAATTATGCAATTAAGACTTTAAAATAGTAGTTATGCCATGGAATCCCTCTTTCTTTTTTTGCTGATGTTTAGAATCATGAAGCTGGCTTCAGTGCTATAGAGGATAGGAAACTTGGGCTTAGAGCCAGGAAAACCTGGGTTCAATTCCTCCTTCTGCCAAGCACTGACTCTGGGACAAAGGGCAAATCACATAACCTGTCCCAGTACTCTTGGCATCTCTCTAAGACTTGCAGAGATGGAGCTGACCTACATTGGTAAGAGGGAGTTTTCTCATCTGCGACAGCAATCACAGGTCTCTTCTCTCACCCTAGTGGTGTTGCACCCCCCACCCCCAACCCCAGTTATCTTCTTTAGGTCCAAACAGTCCAAAATGTAGAAAAAGTTTCATCAAGGTCACAGGATAATTTCATTAGTATATGCCATCAAAGTGGACAATTCAGGATGGAAAGTAAATTCTCAAATTTAATCACATAATTGGACAATCTCTATTTCACTCTGGGCTATCTAAACACAGGCCACAGTTATTTGCTCATAAAAGGCAACAAGAAACTCCTGTTAAAACAATCAGGTCGGATGTTCTAGGAATCTAATTTTTTTTCCCCTATTACATTGGTCTGGCAAGTTGAAGCTGGAATCGTACAAACCATAGTCTCTTGTTGTATATATCATATTACAGATGGGAACCGCTCACCCAGGACTTCAAAAAGTTGTTGATGTTCTGAGTAAAATTCAAACAAAGGTAAGATGATGTCTTTTGGTGTGACATTGATATTTGTTGGTACCCCATTAGATTTTTTTTCTGCCCCATCTAGTTTCAGAAAAATCCCCAAATTACTCATCTTATTTGTTTTAGATATAACATGCAGGGTTTTGATCAGTTAAAATAAAGGTACAGACTTTGCTTAAAAACTTCAATTCCCAACATTCAGTGACCAACTTTCCTTTATCTCAAGATTCCAGTGTGATTCTAATCCATGAAAGGAATGAATAAGAATTTAGATTTCCCAGCCACCACTGTGATTTGTTCTGGCTTGATATTGCCTTTAAAGACATACATAACTGTTTCCCTCCCTACGTTTAAGTCCCTATGTTTAAGTCTCCTATGTTTAAGTGTCTTAAGGGTTGGTACTGGATAATGCCTATTTGATGACCCAGTGGAAAAGATAATAGGTTATTTTAGAGGATAAGATATGAAATAGACATCTCAAATAAAAATCATGCTTTCTAAATCAAATCAGCCCATATTTTCAAATACTGTTTATTTTCTTTATGTTTTTCAGTAAATATGGACCCTCCCTTAATGAGCATCATTGCTAGAGGAGAGATCTGTATCTATGAATATGCTCTTTCTATGATATTTTAAATATTTTGTTTTCTTTTGTTTAAGGGTGAAGAGTCAACTTTCACTGATTTTGACCCAACTTGTCTTCTTCCTGAGTCCTTGGAATTTTACACTTATCAGGGCTCACTGACTACTCCTCCTCTCTTGGAATGTGTGACCTGGATTGTCGTAACAAAGCCCATCAGTGTGAGCCGGGAACAGGTATGTTTCTTATTGATAGATCTGCTTATATCAGGCAAGTTAACTGCAGTTTTATTGATAAACAATAAACAGTGCTCCTTGAATGCTTTGTGAAAACATGGAGAGCTTAGAAAAATATTTACACTCTAAACTTGTGTCAAACTAATGGAATAATACCAAGATGGTATAACAGTAACTCACCTAAGTTCTATATAATTTATGCCCTGGTTGCTTTTTCTCTTGTATCGAAGAAATTTTTATGACTTTCCAGGGGCTACCAATATGAAATTCATCATAGTTGATGTTATTGTGGAAGGATGTTATCCACAATGAGGAAGGACTTGGGCTGGGGAAGGTGCAAATCTCAGGAGCGCTGTCTTCAGAGCAAAAGTAGTCCTTCCATTGCCCTAGCCCCTGTTTTGATGGATTTTATACCTTGGAAAATAAGGTGAAAAATGGGAAATTTTTGATAAAGAATGGTGATAGCTGAGGAAGCCCTCTGTTTAGATATACCTTTTTTGTGGCAGATATTAGTGATCAGTGAACTGAAGCCAATTAAGATGCGAACCCCAAATAGTCACTGTCAATTTCAGAAACCCATGCTTCAAACATAAAGCTAGACTAGACCTAATCACAGCCACCTTGTGGAATGAAAGCTGTGACTTGTCTGAACTCACCAAAAAATGATTTTTAGTTTAGACCTAGCTCTTTCATGCTTCTCAGTTAGCAGCAGCATTTGAAAGTACATACTAGACTTTTAATTTATGGAATAAAACAAGCACTTTGTATAACTATAAAAAAGATGATTGCACATGAAACTGCAAATCTATTATGTACACTTGCTGTTCCTTTTAAATACATAATAAAGTTATAATGTAATTTTTTTTCCTTTTCCCACTCCCCTACGCTAGAGACAGCTACCATTAGACACAAATATGTGTATACATATATATGTAAAATCATCCCATATATACGTCTATTTATTAGTTCTTTATTGGGTTGCAGATAGCATCTTCCTTTATATGTCCTTTGTAGTTAATTTGGGTATTTATAATAGTCAAAATAACTTATTTGCTCAAAGTTGTTCTTAAAACAATATTGCTGTTACTGTATACAATGTTTGCTTGGTTCTGCTCATTTTGCTCTTCATGCAAGTCTATCCATATTTTTCTAAGATCGTTAGTTCATCATTTCTTATAGCACAATAGTATTCCATCACAATCATATACCACAACCCAAAAGTTTCACAGTTTCTTATAAAAGTGTTTTTATTGCTCTTTGATTAAGTCCACAATATAAAATTTTAAAAATAAAATATTTATTAAGTAGCTACTAAGTACAGGGCACCCTGCTAGGTACTGGGGATTGTGCAATTACTGGCAAAGGTTTTGAAGCCTGTGGAAATTGGAGCCTCCAGTTATGGCAGCCCAGTTTATGTTTGAGTTATATAATGAGTGCCTTGCTGAAAATTAATATGGATGCTTTCTTTTTGTTTTCCAGATGGCTAAATTCTACAGCCTTTATTTTACTTCTGCTGGTGAAAGTCCTGCAAAACACATGGTGGGCAACTGGCGTCCCGTTCAGCCTCTCTCTGGCAGGACAATTAGAAGATCTTTCAATTCTTGATGTCTGAGGGCAATGACTCTCTAGTTAAGCACAATACCAGTCTGTACACTGGCAGCATCTCCACTAGTCTCAGTCCTTTTGTTTTTGTACTGGATATTATTTCTCATAAAACGTAAAAAAGTTGTAGAGCAACTTAAAATGTTCTTAATGTGTGAACCCAATAACCTACAAGTGCAAACCCATGTGCAATGCTTGGCAAAGTGACATTGACCTGGTGCTTTGGTGATAGCAATGCTTTTTCTGTGACAAGGAACCAATGATAAGGAATAGTAGAATTGCTCCTTCCTTCCCATGTAATAGGGCACATGAGTGAATAGAACTATAAACCCTAGAGCAAAGCAGAAAAGTTGAAGACAAACCTCCAACAAGTGATTAAATTGCATCAATATAAAAGTGTAAGAAGGCAGAATTAATAATAGTAATTCCAAGAAGTTACATTTAAGATATTGATATATGATTTTTAAAAATTCTTACATGTTTGTAGCCATGTAATCTTTAAACAGGGATGATGTTTTTGTGAATTTTGAATTAAGTATTATCTATAAAAACATTTTAATTATAGCTATAATACAGATTATATTTCCATTCAGAGAACATATATCATAACTTAAAGAAAAATTAATATTGTATTTTAGATATATGTTGGATAATAAAATAGATAATTATATTTTGGCTCATAGTCTTCTTTATGCTCTGGGCAGATGGGTAAAAAAGGAGAAATTTTTATTTTCCTCTGCAACTTATGTGTTATAATAAGAAAAATTGTTTATATGACACACTAAGAACTAGAAGTATTATCCCTGAGTGGAAGCACAAAAAAAAATCACAGAAAAAGAAGAGCTGATTATGATGAAAGCAGCAGGGGGATAAGGAGAACCCAAATATCTTTACATACGATCAGCAAGGTTCATGAAAGTGGAATAGACCAATGCATTTACTTGGTTAGGAAGTTATTATGATCCTGGAAAGTAAAAAAAAAATTATCACAAATGCAGAGATGATGGAACAACAGCTATTTAAATATTGGGTACTTATGTTTCCTTGGTGACAGTGATGTACAGAGTCATGGGCCCTGTCCTCAGGGGACTTTCTAGTCTAGTGGAGATGATGTACACACTACAAACATGAGCGTGGCATTCTCTAATAATCAAAAGATCTTAAAGTTGGAAAGAACTTCACAGGTCACGTGGACCAAGGACCTCGATTCAAATCCTGGTTCTGCTACTTCTTACTTATACAACCTCAGACAATTTGCTTAATCTCTCTGTGCCTCAGTTGTCTCATCTGTAAAATGATGGTTTAGACATTGGGTGATTTCTAAGATTCCTTCCAGTTCTAAAACTTGTGATTCTAAGATTTAGGCTGACCTGTATATGAGCAGGAATCCCTTTGACAAATTCTGTGGTAAGGGGTCATCTTGTTTCCACTTGAGGACTTCTGGTGATATAGAACTCACCACTCTCAAAGCAGACCATCCTACTTTTGAACAATTCTAGTTATTAGGCAGTTATTCCTTATAGCAAACCCCAAATTGACTAGTTGTTAACTTATATCTGTTTCTTCTCTCTTCCTTCTGGGTCCAGGCAAAATAAATATGATCTCTTTTCTACCCTTCCAGTATTTGATAACCTGGGCTAGGCTTCACTCAGTTCACTTTCAGGGATTAAGTGCAATGAGACATTCAGAGATCATATAATGCAATAAAAATGACTTTACTAGGATAATACAAATAGGATACTATTTTTAAGGTTCAAAAGATAACAAATTAAATAAAAAAAGCTTTTCCCCTCTGTTTCATCTTTCACCATAGCAACCAGCCATATTAGGTCAGAAAGATAGTCTCTGGGGTGGCGGGAATTCAGCTAAAACCACCCTCCACTACCTGTAGGCTGGGCCTTTTAAGCATCAGGTAGCAAGGAAGCCAAATGACCTCCCTGTCCCTTTAAGAGACCAGTTCAACCTACAGAGCAAGTGGCACTCCTTCTACACTTGTAGACAGCAATCATGCTCCCCTTAAGTCTTCTCCAAGTTAATCCTACCCCTCTCTTTGCAGTTCCTGCCCCTCCGCTTTATATGACATAGTTTTGAGTCCTCTTGTCATCCTGCTCACCTCATTCTGGAAGCTCTACAGTTTGTAATTTCTAAAATGCAGTGGCCATAACTGAACACAACATTACAGATGGGTTTTTTTTGGCAGCTAGGTAGCACAGTGAATAGAGCTCTGAACCTGGAGTCAGGAAGACTTGAGTTCAAATCTGGTCTCAGATACTTACTAGCTGTGTGAATATGGGCAAGTCACTTAACCTCATTGCCTAGCCAAAAAAAAGAAGAGTCCATCTGCATTAATACAGGTGGTTTCTTCAAGTAAGTTCTCTATACCAGTGAAATAATTTAGTCCAATAGACAAACCAAAAGACTTCAGTATCATAGCCATACCATGATGAGGCAGATGAGTAGTACGGTGGATAGAGTGAAGGACTTTGAGTCAAGAAAACTCCAGTTCAGATCCTGCCTTAGACACATACTTAGCTATATAACTTTGGGTAAGTCACTTAACCTCTCCATGACTCAGTTTCCTTATCTATAAAAAAATGAGAATAATATTATCATCTACCTCAAAGGATTGTTGTGATGGTCAAATGAATTAACATGTAAAGCACTTTGCAAACCTCGAAGCACTATGTATTAACAAACTTAGTTTGAATAAAACATTAATATATATTGCACAAGGAAAGATGAGCACAAAAGAAAAAGAGGATCACATCATTCTGGGAGTCTTGCACGCCTGTTCTAAAGTTTGGGAAGCTCTTGAGAACCTGCTGCTTTCCACCTAACGGATCCCAGCTCTAGGAAGAGGGAGTCTCTTTCTTCTTTTTTCATTTTTATATACACCTTACTCTTCCCTTTAAAAATCTCAGTAGTCTATCTGACAGCTTGTAACCTGGAGGATTTAAATGTATTATCTTTTAGAATGCTTATAGAGAAAATTATAGATTTCTCTTTCTACCCATGTAGAGTTCTGATTCCAATAATTACACGAAACAGTTAAAATAGTGCAGCAAATTCTCTATTATTTGTGAATGGAGTATTTACTTTATGCTCTATAGTCTTTTCTTTACTTTGGGTTCCAGACTGTTTGACAATGGACTAGGAGGAAAAGAGGGCCAGGCTGGGTTAAGGAAGCAGAGTGAGAGCCTCGACGTACGTGAGATAAGACAGGAAGTCTGCAATACATAAATTCAGCTTCATTCTCAGTTTAAAACTCCAGAAAAGTCAAGGAGGTATCTGAACTTCAGTTGGGAGAGGGGCAGAAGAAGAAGAAGAAAAAAATAGGTGGGTAATTAGAGTTAATTCAAACTTTGATGGTAACCGAATTCCTAGAGGACAGCTTCTTTCTCCATTAAGGCTTGGCAGGAATGTGCTAATTGCAGCCGAGTAAGCTACGGTCAACATACAGACAAGGCAAGAATCCACCAAAAGCAGAACAGCTAAGAAAGTCTTGACCTGCCCTAATGATCTTCTCGTTCTTCAAAAAATGAAAGAATCAACAAGGGCAACTGAGCTTCCACTTATGAGAAAGAGCAGCTGGTTGAAGAACTGGAAATGATGAGACACTGTGAGGTTGTGGGGGAAGTGTCCATTCCAACTTGAAATCTGTTAGAGAGGAGAAGAAAATCTTGGGGGGTATAGGACATTTTGCCTTCATTTGGAGAGAGTAGCTATAAAATATGTTCAGAGAAAGAAGAGGTAGGATAGAATGTTTTGCAATGCTACATGGGTAGAAGGCCCAAGAGGGAGAAAAAACTCTACAGAATGAAATTGTAAAGATAAACCAAAATTATTTGTATGAGTAGGAACAATGATAATAATCATAATCATAACTAAATTTATGAAACACTTACTAGGTGCCAGGCACCGTGCTAAGCACTTTACAATTATCATCTTACTTAATCCTCACAACAACCCTGGGAGGTGGGTACTATTAGTATCCCTATTTACAGATGAGGAAACTAAAGAGGTTAAGTGACTTGCCCGGGGTCACACAGCTAGTGAATGTCTGAAGCCAGATTTGAGCTCAGGTCTTCCTGACTCTAGGCCTGGTCTTCTATCCTATCCTGGTGCATTGTCTAGCTGACAAATCACTAAGAGCATATGGGTTTTTAAAATGGCTTTGTGGACTAATGTGGTTCCATAAAGAGTTCCCTGACCAACTCATATTTTAAAATGCCATGTATGAGGGTAGCAGCAAGGCCAAATTATTGAGGATAAAAACAAACAAATACAAAAGTAGTAAGATTAGCGAGAGGCAGCCTGGTGTAATTCTCTGGAGTATGGAAAACCTAGCTTAAAATCCTGCCTCTGTCACATACTGGCTGTGTGACCCTTGGCAGGTTATTTAAACTCTAAGTGCCCCTGGGCAACTTGCTGAGACTGTGCATTGCAGAGCAGGTTGTCATTGCACTGGCAGAAGGAGTTTCCTATCAGGACTTACATATACCAATAAAACCACAGGTTCAGTCCAAAAAAATTAATTTCAGAAGCACTGCAGGCCCAAATGATCTGAGAGGAATAATTCATGCAAAATATGACCCAAAAAATGCTACGTTGGGGCAAAAGGAAGAGCAAAGAAAGGATAGTCTAGGAAAAACACAGTGAACAGTGTGGAAGAGAGTACCAAGGCAGGACTATTCCACTCACCTTTTGCTTCCCTTTTCTTTCCCTAGGAGAAGAAACTTGTATTTCACAAGGGTATCTAGGTGGTCCGGTGGATACAGTGCTGGATTTGAAATCAGGAAGATCTGACATCAAATCCAGACTCAAAGACTCACTAACTATGTGACCCTAGCCAAGTCATTTAACCACCATCTGCCTCACCTCTCTTATCTATAAAATGCTAATAATGGCACCTACCTCCCAGAGTTATTGTGAGAATCAAAGGAAATAAAATTTGTAAAGCATTTTGAAAACCTTAAAGCAATATATGAATGCTAGCTATTATTTTCATATTATGAACAAAGAAAACTAGTTAGCAAGATAATGAGAAGATGGTAAATACCTAACAATCCTTGATGAGTTCAAGTCATCAAGGCCTAGAAATCTGGGTTTTGGCAGATATGATAGATGACTCACTGCCTGTGATCTTTGAAGGCTTGTGGAGAATGGGAGAAATGCCACAGACTGAAGACAGGGGAGGGGGGAAATAATTTCTAGGGAAAGAAAGAGGAGGGTAGAGTCTACAAAATAAATCCTGGCAAGATTGTAGAATGTATTATTAAAAAGGGAGTGATTTGTGATGATTCAGAAAGTAAAGCAGGTATCACTAAGAGCCAGTATGGATTCATCAAGGATGGGCCATGCCAAAATGTATTTTGCATGACTACACATGTATAACCTATTTCAAATTGCTTGCTTTCTCAGTGAGGGGGGAGGGAAGGAAGGAAGAGAATTTGGGACTCAAAATTTGAAAAAAGAATGTTAAATTTTTTTACATTTAATTGGGAAAAAATAAAATATTAAAAGGAGAAAAAAACAGACCGTGCCAAGTTAATGTCATTTGTTTTTGTCAAGGTAGATAGACTGGTAGATCAGGGCAATGTTTTGAACACAGTAACTAGGAATTTTAGCAGAACATTTAACAAAACCTCTCATGAAATCCTCAAAAACCAA